CTTCAAAATAAAAGCCAATTCAACCTACTAATTTACAGGTAAAAACCAATTTCGGAAAATTTATGGAATATACGAGTATGGCAGATAGGTATCAGAAGCTTTATACTACGTATTAAAACATGAAACCAATTTCATCTTTTGCTAATTAAACCTGATAAAAGTGATGAAGGGTGGCGAAACAGATGAAATTATTTGAAAATGACGAAACTAACAAAGGCTACAAACCGGATAAAAGATGATTAATTAAAACAAGGGAATGAAAATTGATAAAAAAAGAAGTTCATTAAAGGTAATTAGAAGTAATAAATAAAGATTTTCCAATATTTTACCATTTTTGGTTGTTGGTATCGGGCTTTAAAATTGTCTTGGTCAAACGATACACTTGAAATCGTTCCACAGGTTACAGATAAAATTTTCTCGATTAGGTAAACTTATAATAGTTCTCAGGCTCTTGATATTGACTTGACTGTTTTTTTAAATTGTCTTGATCAACAAAAAACTTATACTTATTTCTCATTTAAGATAGATTTGATAGGCAAGAACTTAAAAATTTTCTCAATATTTGTAATTTTCTTGACCAGACAAAATTTTATAATTCCACAGTACTAAATCTCATAAGTAATTTTAAAAAAAATGCTTATGCGTAGCTAACTGTGGCGTTGTTAAATTCTTAATGAATGCTATTATTTTTTTTTAGTAATTATATATATTTAGTATTAGCATTATAATAGTCTAATAATTGCATTACAATCAACTTTCTCTAATCTAAGTGCAACCTCAATGAAATGAGTTTTATGTATAAATGCAGACTATTTTAATTAGCAAATAAAATTTTGTTCAATAAAATTGCATTTATCTTGTATTATCCTATTAGAGTAAATTTTCTAAAATGCAAAGCTTTCTAATTGCATGGTGATGATAGTTTGCTAGTGATATGGGCTGACCACGGCCCATCAGCTGTGCGGGCGGGTGTGTCAGCCCTCGACCCAAACTTTATGAATCGGCCCGGCTGGAATATAGTAAAAATTTCATCCAATAGGAATTCATTGTATAACTTATGATAATTGGTTAGATGAATGCAGTGGTGCGGGTAAGATCAATAATTTTTTTTAGATAAAATATTGTAAATTTAATTTTCTTTTTTAGCACAATGATTTTTATTCGATTATGAATTATTACCGTACTGTATATGTGATCGGATAAAATTAATAATTAAATATTCATAAAGTTGTTTTAATATCAAAATCCCAACACACAAAATCCTGATACACAAAATCCTGACAACAAAATCCTGACAGATTAAAATTCTAATTTTAATATTGTCAGGATTTTAATTTGTCAGGATTTCGTATTTCAGGATTTTGTTGCCAGGATTTTATGTGTCAGGATTTTAATTTGTAAGGATTTTGTATTTTGGAATTTGTTGTTAGGATTTTATGTGTCAGGATTTTATGCATTGGGATTCTAATATATAACCATTTTTGAAACCTTTTTGCTTTATATATATATATCTTTCCAAGTGGTTTGTAATTCTATCCTTATCTGAAAATAATATCCTAGTGCATCTTTAGGACAATTATCTATAGGCTTGCCTGTTAATAGATAGGTTCTGCAAATCTGGCAATGCTTGTGTTTAACAAAAAATATAGATATAAATACAAATACAAAATTTTAGGCAAAGACATAGGTACAAATACTAAACTTAAATATGAATATAGATACAGCATATAAAAATTTGATATAAATATAAGCATAGGTACAAAAATTTGGCATGGGCATAAGTATAGGTATAAAAATTTAGCATAAGCATGGGCATTGGCACAAGCATAATAAAATAAATTATTGCAAATATAATAAAAAAAACAAGTTAAATATACAATTATTATTTATATAAAATAATATAAATATAATAAGCAAAATGCTTTTGTAGAAATTTATATATTTAGTTTTATAATTTAATAAATAAATTAAAAACTAGGTAATTATTATAATAGCATATTTTTTTATATCTGGATATCATTATCCTCTTACTTCAATAAGGTATAAATTATCATTATTGCCTGCTTCGTGAACAATAATTTATAGTATTAGATTTATTAAAAGTTATAACCTTACTGGTAAAAAATTAACTAAGTATGATCACTAGTTAGCTTAAATATAGTTGGTAGTAAAATTACTAAATTATAGCTATTATGACATTTTACTAGTGGTAGAATTAATTATAGTATAGCATCTAATTGCTATAAAAATTATATGCTATAATGCAATAATGTTGTAATATCACAATGACACAATGCTACAATAACACAATATTGTAATAATGTGATATTATAACTATGGTATAATATTAAGTCACTACATAACACAGTTACTCCAAAATGGAAACTGATAAATATGTTGTTATTTGCCATACAAGCATTTAATTAGTGGTAAGTATAAAAGTTATTTAGAGTGTAAAAAATCTGTATAACAGAGGTAAAAATAATATTCTATGATTACAAAGAGAATTTAAATACTGAAATATGCACAATATAGTGAATATTACAAGATAAAGTAAAATATCTATAATGTTAAACAACAAAAAATAGAAAATATATGATTACACAAAATCATTTCAACTTAGAGCCTTCATACAATAAACTAGATAATGTTAAAAAAATTAAAAAAGAAGAGAATGACTTTTTATTTTCTATAACATTGTTTGATAATGCAAAAGCTAATGGTAATGAGTTTAATTATGTAAAAGTATATGAACTATCTAGTAATTTCAACTGTTATATCTTAAGTGATGAATAGAAAGTTTTATCAAATATAATTAAGGTCATAAATTAATGCAGAATACAATAGCTATAATAAATTTTAAAACATGTAAGTATGTAGGTGTGTATCAGCTTATCTAAGCTATAAATACTATTATCTGACAAGCTTATATGATCATGAAAAAATTTTCTTTTTGTTTTTTTTCATATATTACGATGTAATCATGTTTATTCAAATTAAAACTCAGTGAGCAACTCTCTGCCAATCATGATCATAAATTGCTGGATGTAATACTATTATTGGGCAAATTGTCAAATATGGTATTTGACAAATGATTGGCTACACATACCGCAAACCGGCACATACTTATTTGCCAAATTACTACTATTCGACAATTTTTGCCCAATAATGTATACTTATTGTAATCTGACAATGATGTTATTTTTATAAATTAGCTCACCAAAGACATTTTCCAATGACTTATGGACTGGTTTAATTTCCAAAAAAAATAAATCACGATGTTTAAGTCAAAATAAAACTTAGATAATTAACTAATCAAATACATATTAGAAAACCAAAGAAACTTCGTATAAAGAAGCTTACAAACTAATAAATGTACACTATTATTAATATATAGAGAATAGATAAAGTGGACAAATAAGTTATTTATTACTAATAAACCCAAATATTAAAGAATCTACCATATAAGATATAAATTAAAAATATTAAAAATTTCAACTACCGATTTGACAAGCTCACACACTACAAGAACCAACCAAATTTAAATATTAAGCCCAGATCTTCTTGTTAAAGAGCTTGCACCTATTCAAATTAAACAGTTAAAAATAAAAGCTTATTTAAATCTAACATAATAAATAGTTTTAGATTTCTGATTACCTTCACTCTACAGTATAGTTTGATATGACCCAGTAAGTAAAGTTTACGAGGATACTGATTATTACTGATTATTTTTGCATAGTAAATATAAACGTTCTATTGAAGCGAAAAATGGCTTTTGTGGTGATTTTTTATTAGTGAAATATTGTATTCCAAAATGTACTTTAAAGTGTACAAATAAGTTACCGGACAATTGATTTACATCAACCAATCAGACGAATGCTCTTCTATGACTATGATGATAAGTGCACATAATTTAATCAGTAATGTAATTATTTAATATATTTGCATATTATTATCCGAGTAATACGAATAATTGTAGTGTATGGTTTAGTAAAGTACTGGTGTATACTTAATTAAATTAGCAAACACGTGTGTATGGTTGGCGAGGTCACAACTGCATATAAAATTATATAGTGTCAGGTATGAAACGTATACTGTATAAAATTTATGCAACCGTGATAAAGAAGACTACCAGTAGACTTCGGGCCTTTAAACTTATAATATCGGGACCAATTCTGAATAATTTTATATGTCGAGTCTGTGATGTCATAAATTAAAAACCGAAGCTTAATATTGTCTTTAAATAATGAAAGCAATGAAATCAATAATCATGTGTTTTTTTGTTTTTTATAAAAAAAAAAACAGATTTAAAGTATTGGATTACCATCAATCAAATGATGATACCTTCAAATGATATTAATTCTGACGAGGAATTTACACCATTGATTAATAGCATTTTCAATGAAAAATTTTTATCCTTTTAATGAAACTTTATTACTGATAAAGAGAAAATTTTTTTTCGATAAAAATATTTCTTTAAATGAAAGCTTTAATACCGATAACTGCAGGTTTTTTTTTTCTCAAAAAACTTCTATGTAACATATTATGAAGCACAAAATTCCAAGCCACCACTATAGATATCTAAGCCCAAAAAGGTGAAAGATAAAACTCCTGGTGAAAAGTCGAAGCCTTAATGAAATTTTTAAACCTCAATAAAGATATACGAAGCTATCTCACAGAAAGTGTCAGTTCCATGATCGATTAAATAATGACAATTTTCTTTCTTTTTTTTAAATGTATAGATTTATATTAAATATATGCTGGTATATATATGGTTATGAATTTGACACACACTGGTTTAGAGATCACAGAACTGATACTTTTTTGTAATAGGCTAAGTTTCGTAAAGTTAAAAATGTGACTTTAAATTTTAATCAAGGTAAATTTTTTCGATTATCGTTCTATTATTCACTATACAATACCAAGCAAAATACTTAGGAGATTTGCTAGGTTCTACAGCCTTCAGAATAATTGATTTTGGCAATTTCTAGTTTCGTTACATTTCACCAGTTTCGCCATATTTTCGCCATTTCGCCGTTTCATCCTTTACAAAAGTCGAAATTATTCAACAGCATTAAACATCTAAGTTTTTGTTTAACAACTATAGCTGCATCAAACCATTCAGTACAAGCAATTAGAAAGTTACTAGGCCTGTAGTTATTAAATAATTTCTCTAGAACTTATTTTATCGCTTTTTGGTAGAATAGGTTTATCAGTTAATACTAGAATACTTATTGTTATAATCCTTAACATATTACGGTAATTCTCTAGTTCTGTTATAGCGTAGCAGAAGGCCTAGTTTTTTAAATACAGTCGGACCTCTCTAAATGCATAGCCTCGGGCGGCCAAAAAATAATGCATTTAGAGAGGTATTGCATTTCGGTAGGTAAAAATCTATAAGTGTCATATGAGTTGGGGCCAAACAAGGCCATGCATTTAGAGAGACTATGCATTTAGAGAATATACATTTAGGGAGGTTTGACTGTATTGGCAATTACTTTTATTTACTAAATTTTAATAATATTTTTGCTTATAACTTTCAGAGTCAGTAACTGCACAACCAACAATTATTGTAATTTATTAGAGATAATTTTTTAATTGCAACAAATTTCTGGCTTTTTAAGTATTTTAATTTTTATATAAATTTGCAAAAGCTATTTAGTTTATAAACTTATAATAAATAATAATTAGGTATCGCTAAGAAAGTAAATACAGATTTCATTAACAATTTAATATAGTTTTATTTAATAATAGTAGAGACTTTAGCTTATCCGACAAATGAATGAGGTGTTGAAAATTTTATACTTAACTATCGTCAGTATTTTATAGTCTTTCTTTCACAGTTCATTAAATTATATTTATATTCTTAGATTTACAATTCTCTTTTCTACATAATTACAGATATATAGATATATTCAAAGAATATACAATATCGTAAATTTATATATAATATCCGGATACATCCGGATGGATGTTTTTTGAACCAGATGTTAATCCGGATCCCAACACTAACGCTAATTCTAAGAGATATTTTGTTTTAAAAAAAAATTTAGTTTGGCTATTTCTGAACTATTCCTCTATTTCTAGCTGCCACATCTTGGACATTATTTACTTTATTTACCCCAATTTCAGCCAGAATAAATATATACTGCCTCATATTGTATAGAATTTGTTTAGGAATTGGTGAAGGTGTAACATATCCATCTGTTCATTCATTAATTTCAAGATGGTTTCCACATGAAGAACGAACTAGAGTTATTTCTGCAGTAGGAATTTCAAGTTTTATCGTATCGGTATGGTAATCACCATGCCGATTTCAAATCTATTTGGTTCAAATCAGTTTGTCTGGGAAAGTATTTTTGGGATTTTTGCAATTTTTGGATCTATTTGGTCCATTATTTGGTATTTTTGTGGGAAAAGTGATCCTAGAGACTATTCAGGGATCAGCAAACAGGAATTAAATTGGATTTTGAAAAACGAATCAACTGTTTGTTCTGGAGATAATTTGGATATTATCAGTCAGGATCTAGGGAATATATCACAATTACTGATGATAATTTAGTTGGATATTGCACCAAAATATGCGGGCGAATTGTGTGCCTAGGAATTACTTGTGGGATGGTCCCAGCATTTTTTGATGTAGCGCTAATAGGTTGGATATTAGAGATTACTGCAAATGATTGGAGCATTATTTGGCGTATATGTTCTCTATTTAATATTGCCGGTACAGTACATCAATTTTTTTGCCTGGGCTGGTGGCGAGGTAGTAATTGATTGAAGTGGATGATTTAAAATATTTGTAAATATTTACGTATGCATTAGATTGTGGTTATTTAGGATAGTGTATATAGTAAAAGAGTATAGATGGATTTTATTATAGTTTATATTATCAAATCAAGACCAACAATTCTCATATATTATGACATTTATTTCATGTTTGCAATCTTCCTAGCTGCCACCCAATTTATCACGGCAGATTCTCTGTCGCCTTACATAACGATAATTGTTTACGTAATTTCCGGAATTAACTTTTTTTTTCATTCCAAAAAAAGAAATTGGCTTGCACTTTGGTAAAATTAGCTCGGGATATTTTTTCACCTGCGATTTCATTAGTAATTTCGTCTAACTTAATCAAATTCGAGAATCTACCACTATAAAATTAGTGAGGCAGTTATCTTTCATTATGTTCTTTGACGATCAAATGAAGAAAAAAGGCAAAAAATGCAAAAATATTTCGATAAAGCACCGATAAAAGTTTAAAATAAAAAGTCTTATCACCTCAAAATCAATCTGGATTTTATCTCAATAGCAATACAATACGTAGCAATATCTATAAAAAGAATTTCTTATCCTGGAATTGCAAGGCAATTTTGACTGTAGTTCTCCTGCATGAAGATGCGACAAATTATAAAAAAGTTAATTTCCAATCCGTATGTATGTACGTACGTACATGTACGTACGTATGTACCGGTACGTACGAAATCGTGACACATGTATGTATGGAAAAATAGATCGATTAAAATAGAAAATCTAAATAAATGCTTTATTTAAATACAATTGAATCTTGAAAATAGCCGATAAAATTAAACTTCTGATTAACCAATTAGATGTGTTAGTTTCGAGTTATATTTGTTTAAATGGTTAGTAAATTTTGAGACGAGTATATTTTCTACTTATAGTGTAGATCTATCAAGTGAATCAAGCAATAAGGTGAATCAAAAAGCATAGAATCTATCGCTATCGCTATGGATTCAGATATGCTATCGTCATCCACGTAGTTCGTATTACGTACTTACCTAATACAGTATAAATACTACGTACAAACCTTGCAAGTTTGGTACTCACATACGTTCATATGTGTTTGATTATTTACTCTAATCGTTTCATTTTTATTTTCAGATACGAAACATACATTATAAACTACTGTGTGAATCAATAACACTTTTTTTTCGGGACTCATAATGGCGTTAATCTTCACGTAAGTTATTATTTCCAAAAACATAGTATGTTTTATTTATCTTCTAATTTATTTGAAAATTTCAGTAATCGGTGGCCTGGTTATATTCCAAAGAGATTTATAATTCTCTTTCTTTGTATCTCTGCTATTATTATCAGTTGTGCTGGTATATTTCAATGTTAAGTCCTTGTCTTTAAAAACTTGTAAAATTTATTCATTAATTAATTGTTTTTTTCATGAAAGATCGTGCAAATATGGCAATTGCCATAGTTTATATGGCTAAAGAATTCAACTGGGATCATAGTATACAAGGCTATGTAATATCGTCACTTTATTTTGGATATTTTATAACTATAATTACAGGAGGTATGCTTGCTGATAAATTCGGTGGAAAGAGAATATTGAGCATGGGTGAGTAATATTCTAAGAGATATTCTGTTTAAAAAAAAAATAGGTTTGATTATTCCTAAACTATTCAATTTTTTCAGCTGCAGCAGCTTGGACACTCTTTACTTTACTCACTCCAATTTCTGCCAGAATAAACGTATACTGTCTTATATTGTGCAGGATTTGTTTAGGAATGGGTGAAGGTCCAACATATCCATCTGTTCATTCATTAATTTCAAAATGGTTTCCACCCGAAGAACGAACTAGAGCTATTACTTTGGCAGGTGTTACAAATTTTATCGGTATGGTAATCACTATGCCAATTTCAAATCTATTGGGCTCGAGTCAGTTTGGCTGGGAAAGTATTTTTTGGGTATTTGCAATCGTCGGTTCTATTTGGTCCGCTATTTGGTATTTTTATGGAAAAAGTGATCCTAGAGACTACCCAGGAATTAGCAAAGAAGAATTGAATTGGATTTTGAAAAGCGAATCAACTGTTTATTCCGAAGTTAATTCCAGAAACTATCAATTAAGATCTAGGCAATACATTACGATTACTGACGATGATCTTAGCATTTCTGAAAGCGAAAATGATATGTTACTACCGAAGAATCTAGTATCAACAAGACCATATTATGCACATAAAATTCCTTGGAAATTGATATTTTCTCGCCGTGAAGTGTGGGCAATTTTACTCTGTCAATTTTTTAGCTCTTGGAGCTATTTTATTTTGCTTAATTGGTTACCAATATTTTATTATGAATATTTTCATGTAGACATTCATTTAATTGGATTCTACACCGGTAAAAAAACCTTAATAATTATTAATATTATTCTATATTTATTTTTATATTTATAACTTATAAATTTCAAATATTTTTAGCTTTATCTTACTTATCCTACATCATAATGGGATCTATAGTTGGTTGTATCTGTGATTATGCGATTCATCAATTAAAAATTCGCGTTATAACTGTGCGAAAATCTGTCAATATAATTGGATCCTTTGGAATATCGATACCTCTTTTATTGGTAAGCGCAAAAAATTGCAAATTTGTTTCATTTATTCATTATTCATTTATTCATGATTTGTTTTGTTTTATTTTTTTATTCATATATAATTTACAGATAACATATTTGGCAAAAACTTCATTTGAAGGATTATTGATGATAACAATTGGTTTTGCATTATACTCATTCCAAGCTTCGAGTTTTGTCGTATCTCAGGTAATTTATTCATTAATTGATTATTTATTTATTTATCTATTTAATATAAAAATAAATCTTGTCAATTATAGTTGGATATTGCACCAAAATATGCGGGTGTAATGTGTGCCTTAGGAATTATTAGTGGGATGGTCCCAGCTTTTTTCGGTGTAGCATTAACGGGTTGGATATTAGAAGTTACTGCTAATAATTGGAGTATTATTTGGCGTATATGTTCTCTACTTAATATTATTGGAACAGCAATTTATTTTGCCTGGGCTGGTGGAGAGGTAGTAGTTGATTGAAGTGACTGAAAATTAGGAAAATTTAAATATTTTGTAAATTGTATGTCACATACTTGATTTTCAAGGCAAAAGCCTAAATTAGAACTATAGTACGTACATAAATGCTTACTATTTTGTAGTTTCATTCAGAATAACACAATAGACATATTGTTCAAAAAATTTTTTACTCAAGCTATCTTTGTATGAAAATAACGATAATGAATGCCAAACAATCCATTTGTGAATTTAACTATAAATACTAATGCGATAGTGTGAGGCTATTTTATGTGTTTTAATTTGAAATATTCCCGAATGTTAATAGCTTATTCCAAATATCTGCAATTTTGAACCTAATAAATTAACATGTGCAAAATATGTCTAAATAAAATAAGAATTTGATGGTAAACAGTCGCGAATTTAGCTATTGTATCTCAAATATTCCAACTAATAGATGATTACGATACTCATTGGGCAAATTACAGATTATCTTGTTGACTGGATTTAGAGAGTGGAATCGATTAGTTTCGATCAAACTCTAGAATTTCGAACATCGGTAAAAAAAAATTTGACCGATGTTCGAATGTTCGATGAATTTTTAAAGCATTTATCAATTGTACTGCAATCGCTACACTTTTAATATATAATTTATCAATTATACTGCTATCGCTGTTATTTAATATACATCAATTGTATTACTATCGCTATACTATTAATATAAATTTCTATGATTTGCAATTTGCTGTTTTTTATTATCCTAGATCTCAAGAATAGTAAAACCAATTGATTTCATATTACGTTTTAGAAATATCATCCTGCCAAATAACTTCGGCTTTAATAATGTTTCAAGTGTTCACTTAGTGTGCTTGTTGCAGGATTCAATATTAAACCAAATTCCATCATGAGATCACGGCCGACACCCGTGACGTCGAGTGACCGATTTGTAATTGTGTTGTATTGTGTGGAGAAAATCGATGTGATTAGATCCTAAAAATTAATTTCTCTCTAATCTAAATGGGTTTTTCGGAATTCGTGACATTAAAATTTCCCTATTTTCTTATGATTTATTATAAAATTTATAACATAAAAATGTCTCCTAAAATTGACTATAAGCATTATGTCCATCTTCAGATAAAGGGCCTGATAGATAAGGGTCTTTAGAGTATATTTAAAGATCACCCACAAGAAAAAGCTGCCCAAAATCACCAACAAGAATAATTAAGCACCTACCAAAAGATATATTACTGTAATCTGGAATGCTTGATATGACCTTAGATTAATTAGAGCCAGAAGTTGACATTCTTCTATACTCATTTTATTTATAATAAAATATTTTACCTCTGTAGCTAATTCTAGAGCTTTTTAAGCCTATTATCAATAAGGTCAAATTAATTAGTTATTAGAACTGAAAGTGTTATGTAAATAGTACTACATTGAATATTAAAGGTATTAGAGCAAGCACAAGTAGAGGTGGGCTTTGTTCTTGTAATAAGTCATTATTTCTTGATATCTTATATATTATTTTTTTTATATAATTTTGATAAAATAAGATTTTTTAGTTTTAGCAGTATCTATACCAATAATTTTGAGCAACTTTACAAATTAATTAGAGTAAGATTTTATATACTGTGATGACCAAAAAAGGACTGCGACTCGGTTGCTCCACAATCCAAAAACTCGTGTAACCTGGGTAAGTAACCTTTCGAAAGAGGTGTGTTAGATTTGGCTTGTGGTGATTTAAGGCTTCAGTTACTTTTCTCGTTGACTCTAGGCCACGTGGACAAGAATAGAATGAACAGCAACT